AACAATCTACTGAGACATACTACAGAAGTAATGTGTGATATTTTCAACGAGCAAAATGAAGTTCTTGAAAGTCTTATTAGAGAAAATCCAAGAAGATACATCCAAAAACAATTGAATCATACAGCCGTCAAAGTCAGATTTATCGATGTTGCAGAAATTGTACAAGTTACATTCTGTAAAGAAATTGATGAAGAAGAGATTGACTTTATAGACGTTACTCATTTTGATGGACGTAAGCTAAGCATTGCACTTACACTAGGACAAATACCAATCAAGATAAAAAGTCTTGGAGATAAAATTTGGTATTACAAAAATGATCATTCAGGAGGAGTCATATCAAGCAAACCACAGCTTCATCCTATGATTGATTATAGAAGTAACATCACTAACATGAAAAGTTTCAAAGAGTTTGATTTAAAATTCTTAGATGACAAAGTAGTATTCCATGAGCATATTCTATTAGATTTGAAGACAAATATTGAAGAAGAACTCATTGAGGAAATGAGAGAAAAGTCTGATGTTTCAATTGAAGCTCATGCTAGTAATCAAGATTCTACTTTACCTCATGAAATATTAGACGATGTAGAAGGATTCTTTGGAAAATGGTGGCTTAGAATTTGGAGAGTTGGTGTTACTTTGCCAGCAATGTTCGTATACCTATTTATAGCTAGATCATTTTGGATGATACTTTCCCCAAAAACTTTCATTGATAGAAAAAATAGAAAAAGAAGGAGAGAGTATGAGGCTGTTGAGTTAAGAGAAATGGTGCATCGACCGTCTATACAATCTCTAACAGTTGATTAATTTTTAACTAAATAAATGAGATTCTTCAATGCTGGAAATGCTTCTAGTTATTCAATTATGGGTTCAGAGGAAAAACCTAAAGTAGAACTTGTAGAAAATATTCCTAAAGAAATTCCAAAACAATCTAAACAGACTTCACATAAAAAGACAAAGCTATCTAAAACTAATAAAGACTTCTTGAAGATTCTTAAAAGTGGTTCTGGTTTTAAAAGAATTTAGATAATGTGTAGCTCTATATGAACATCACAATCATTATATTCAATAAGTTTATTCTGATCATCCACAAGTTTTAAAGTTAGTGTGTTACAAGTGTTAGCAGTTTTATGATAGATCAAATTTACGGGTTCATATTTTATGGTTTTACTCTTTTTCAAAAACTTACAAATTATATTACTCTGTTTTTCTTTCATAAAAGAATCACAAATAAGACTACAAGATAGATATATAAAATTGTTGTTATCACTCTCCAAAGTTCCATCGACTTTTACAACGGCTATAGATTTGGGTTTGAAGTCTTGAGGAAAATCAAACTGAAATGACTTCTCATTAGATCTAAGATTAAGAAATAAATAAACCATTTATTACACATTAAATTATGTCATCTGACTTTGCCGATTATTCTATTAAAAATTATTA